CCCGATCCATCCTGCGGGGATTGTTGGCTTGCAACCTATACGGGGTTAACTGATCTCTCCATGAGCTCCACGGAAAGGTAAGCTATATAAAGCACGCCGACGATCCTCGCAGGATGGATCGGATCTGCGGATTAGGGGGGAATAATGGATCGGACTCCGATCCATTATGCTTAATCCATAGATCCGATCCATCCTGTGGGGATCGTCAGCTTGCTTTAAAACTTACTGTTCTGTGGAGCTGGTCCGGTGTCACCCCGTGCAAAAGGTGTCACCCGGTGCGGCGTGCACTCCCCGCACCTGCCTAGGAACGCCCCTGTTCCTTTATTAAAATAGTAGAGTAGGAACAAGTTCTATTCTGACATGCAGGGACAGGACAAGGGGTGGGCAAGAGGGGAAGCTGCCCTGGGTGCGGCTGGGGATTTGGAGGGTTGTGCTATAAGGGGTGATTTGGAGGGGATCTGTACTACCCACATGGAAGAAAACTATATTTGAAATAGATTTAAAAAATATTCTTCCCAAATATATTGACATATATTTGAAATGCTACAAGTTTGACCGTATTCAATATATTTAAAAAAAAAAATTTTTTTTAGATAGATAGGATAAACACACACACTGCATGTTAAAATACTAAAATACTTTTTTTATAGATTACAAAATATATGAAAAATATTTTTAAAAATATATATTTTATATATATTTCTTCAGATTTTTTTTAACATATAAAAAAAAGTCATTTTAACATATTTAACATATATTTGTAAATGCATTCCAAAAATGTAGATTAAATTAATTTTTAAAGACATACAGTATATTTGAAAATGTATTTTTAAAAATATTTTTCATATATTTTGTAATAAAAATGCATTTCAGTATAGTGTGTATGTATATATATATATATATATATATATATATATATATATATATATATACACATATATATACACACACACACACACACACACACACACACACATATATATATATATACACACACACAATGCTGAAATGCATTTTATTACAAAATATATGAAAAATATTTTTAAAAATACATTTTCAAATATAATGTATGTCTTTAAAAATTTATTTAATCTACATTTTTGGAATGCATTTACAAATATATGTAAAATATGTTAAAATGGCATTTTTATATGTTAAAAAAAACTGAAGAATATATTTAAAAAATATATATTTTTAAAAATATTTTTCATATATTTTGTAATATATAAAAATGCATTTCAACATGCAGTGTATATATATATGTATTGAAATATATTGAATATGGCCAAAAAGATAGTATTTCAAATATATGTGAATATATTTGGGAAGAATATTTTAAAAATCTATTTCAAAGATATTTTTCTTCCATGTGGGTAGGAGAGGGGATTTGTAGTTGAAATTTGAGGTGTAGAGGATTTGTGCTAGGAGGGGAGATTTGGGGAGGGAGTGGATTTGAGCTGGGAGGGGAGATTTGTATTGGCCTAGGGTACATTTTTTGTTTAGGGAGAATTTGAGCTTTGCAAAGGGAAATTGTGCTTAGGGGCCAAATGTAAAGATTAATGCCCTTTGGGGGGGATGATTTTTGATGGGTGCTAGGTGACCTTGTCCTGGTACTGCTGACATGTTTCATGCTAGGCACAGGAATGACAAAGCCACTGCCTGCACATTATATAGAAACATTAATTCTGCATGATCATTAACCCCTTATTTACCTAGACTTTTTAAAATGTCCTGGTAGTCAAGGGGTTAACTGCAGTAAACAGCTTCAGAATGCCACTAATCATCAATCTCCTCTGCTATGAATGAACTTGGAAATGATGAAGATTTTGTCACTTCCAGTTTCAGTGGAGGGCAGAGGACACATCAGGGGTTTAATAGATCCCCAATGTCTCCATAAAGAAGACCTGTCACTTGCCGACTGCTATCACATAGGGGGCTTGTTAGCCCACCTTGTGATACCAATAAAGTTAAATAAAAAAAATATGAAAAATGAAAAAAATAAAAATAATCAGGATGCAACACATCTGCATGTGAGTGCTGACTGCACTACATGCAAGGTATCACCATAAAAGAATGAGTGCAATAATTCTAGGGCCATAAAATGATAATCTGTAAAGGCTTTTACACTGCCTTCTATGGACAATTTTGGGTACCATGGTCTTTCACCACTTCACACGCAATTGTAAATTGTAAAAGTGATATTAAAGTCTTTTTTTTTTTTTACCTAAAATTAAAAACTATGTTATACTTACCTGCTCTGTGCAAAGATTTTGCACCAAGTGCCTCCTTATTTTTTTTTCTGGAGTCCCTGCTGTCCGCTCCTGAGTGTGCCAAACATGCGAGCTTGCTCCCAAGTCAAGCTGTGTGCGACCATAGGCACACACAGAGCAGCTCAACTACGCCCTCCGCTCCCATCCTCTCTTGATTTGATTAAAAACAATAGGAGCCAATTCTCTGCATGAAGCTAAAACACTTTTTATGTTCAGTTTCCCCCCCCCAGCCACCCCCCCCCCAGCTAATACTCACCTGAGCCCCTTCTCGATCCAGCAATGTGTACAATAGCCTCAGCCGTCCAGGTCTCTCTCTCATCATTGGCTAAGGCAGCAGTAGTAGTCACAGCCAGCGAGCCAATGAGGAAAACGGGGGGTAGGGCTGCAGCTCTATATGTCCTATGGATGCATAGAACAGGGCTCAGGAGCGAGCACGCACCAGTGCAACCATAGCAAGTGGTTTGCTATTGGGGGCACTGGTGAAAGGGGAGGTGTTAGGAGTATTCGCAGGAGACTCAAGAAGAAGAGGATTGTCACTGCGTTATGCAAAACTACTGCACAGAGCAGGTAAGTATGATATGTTTGTTATTTTTTAACCACTTTACAACCGCGCTATAGTTGAAAGACGGCTACAGCGTGGTTGTCCAGTTCTGGGAGGGCATCATATGATGTCCTCCCAGAACCCGCCCCCATTAGTGCCACTAGTCAGTGCTGCCTATCAGTGCCCATCATTGCAGCATATCAGTGCAGCATTATCAGTGCCTCCTCATCAATGCTGCCTATCAGTGCCGCCTCATCAACGCACATCAATGAAGGAGAAAAATTACCTGTTTGCAAAATCTTTATAATAGAAACAATGAAAAAAATATTTTCTTCTATTTTTTTGCTTTTTTTTGTTTATAGTGCAAACCCCCCCCCCCCCCAGTGGTAATTAAATACCAATAGAAGAAAGCTCTATTTGTGCAGAAAAATTATAAAAATTGCATATGGGTATAGTGTTGCATGACTGCATAAATGTCATTCTAAGTGCAACAGCGCTGAAAGCTGAAAATTGACCTGGGCAGGAAGGGGGTATAGAGTGAAGGAAATAAGTATTTGATCTTCTGCTGCTTTTGAGTGTTTGCCCACTGACAAAGAAATGATCAGTCTAAAAATCGAATGGTAGGTGTATTGTAACACGGAGGGACAGAATAGCAACAAAACATTCAAAAGAAATGCATATCTAACAAATGATGCACTGATTTGCATGCTCATGAGGGAAATAAGTATTTGATCCCCTTCACAAAACATGACTTAGTACTTGGTGGCAAATCCTTTGTTGGCAATAACAGAGGTCAGATGTTTCCTGTAGTTGGCCACCAGGTTTGCACACATCTCAGGAGGGATTTTGGCCCACTCCTCTTGGCAGATCCTCTCCAAGTCAGTAAGTTTTGGTGGCTGACGTTTGTCAATTTGAACTTTCAGCTCCCTCCACAGATTTTCAATTGGATTAAGGTCTGGACACTGGCTAGACCACTCCAGGACCCTAATGTGCTTCTTCTTGAGCCACTCCTTTGTTGCCTTGGCCGTGTGTTTTGGGTCATTGTCATGCTGGAACACCCATCCATGACCCATTTTCAATGCCCTGGCTGAGGGAAGAAGGTTCTCACCCAAGATTTGACGGTACATTGCCCTGTCCATCATCCCTTTGATGCAGTGCAGTTGTCCTGTCCCCTTAGCAGAAAAACACCCCCAAAGCAGAATGTTTGCACCACCATGTTTGACAGTTGGGATGGTGTTCTTGGGGTCATAGGCAGCATTCCTCCTCCTCCAATCAGGGCGAGTTGAAATGATACCAAAGAGCTCGATTTTGGTCTCATCTGACCACAACACTTTCAACCAGTCCTCCTTTGCATCATTCAGATGTTCAGTGGCAAACTTCAGACGGGCCTGGACATGTGCTTTTTTGAGCAGAGGGACCTTGCGGGCATTGCAGGATTTCAATCCTTGTCGGTGTAGTGTGTTACCAATTGTTTCCTTGGTGACTGTGGTCCCAGCTACCTGGAGATCATTGACAAGATCCTCACGTGTAGTTCTGGGATGATTCCTCACTGTTGTCATGATCATTGACACTCTACGAGGTGAGATCTTGCATTGTGCACCAGACCTAGGGAGACTGACAGTTGTTTTGCGTTTCTTCCATTTGCGAATAATTGCACCAACTGTTGTCACCTTCTCACCAAGCTGCTTGGCGATAGTTTGGTAGCTCAGTCCAGCCTTGTGTAGGTCTACAATCTTATCCCTGACATCCTTGGACAGCTCTTTGGTCTTTCCCATGGTGGAGAGTTTGGAAATCTGATTGTTTGATTGCTCCTGTGGACAGGTGTCTTTTATACAGGTAACAAAATGAGATTAGCAGCACTCCCTTTAAGAGACTGATTCTAATCTCAGCTTGTTACCTGTATGAAAGACACCTGGTAGCCTGAAATCCTGCTGAATGATAGGGGATCAAATACTTATTTCCCTCATGAACATGCAAATCAGTGCAGAATTTGTTAGACATGCATTTCTTTTGAATATTTTGTTGCTATTCTGTCTCTCAGTGTTACAATACACCTACATTTGATTTTTAGACTGATCATTTCTATGTGAGTGGGCAAACATTCAAAATCAGCATGGGATCAAAAACGTATTTCCTTCACTGTAAGTGCCCGGTAGGCAAGTGGTTTAAAGGAAAAAAAAAACAAGCTTTAACCTCCCTGGCGGTATTCCCGAGTGTAGCTCGGGGTAAAGGTTCAGTACCACAAGCGGTAACCCCGAGCTACACTCAGGCTTACAATGCAGCGCTGCTCTGGGATCTGTTCTTCTCTTACCTTGTCCTGCGCTCCTGCGATGTCCCTCCTGCAGTGTCCCCTGTAATGTCCTCTGGCCTCTGTGTTCTGGGTTCCGTCCCCTGCGAAGTCGGGACGTACGGGGGCCGGAACCGGTGGGAAATTTGAAAGTGACAAAAAGTGACATTCACTAAAATAACGTAGTAAAACATTACTGTATCAAACCATTTCACATACATTTTGTCCCTAGTACTTTGTCCTGTGCCCTCCTGGCATTTTTACTGTTCTTTCTGCCTGGAAACTAAGAAACGTCTATGGCGTCCAAAAAGTGTCCCTTTAGGTCAAAAGTGGTTTTAGACCAGCTAGAGAACAGCGATAGTAAATCAGAACCACTTGCAGAATTGAGTGATAATGATTAGTGGGGAAATTCATCATCAAAGACACTGAAAACGATTTTGCGACTTTGCTCAGTGATGTGCGAACTTGGCGCTATATTTCAAATTTCAGTGTTTTTGGTTTGATTATATTATTGAATTAAATTTATTATTATTTTTTATGATTATTTATTAAATTATAATTTATGATTTCGTGTTTCAAATATTAACATCCCCGGGATGTTTACTAGACTCTTGTTCGGACAGATTTTAGTGAGTTATTCCTAAAAATTACAGGCATACAATAAAAAAAATACATAATTCCATGCAAAAAAATGTACCGCTTTGAGCACAGAAATATAGACATAATCAGACCGCTAGGGAGGTTAATATCACTTTAACAAATGCAACCTATTCAGTTTCACAACTCGCCATCTAGTGGCAGACCTCATAAAATACAGGCTGCTACAAAATCTATTATTAAAGCATACCTCCAGGTCTTCTGTTACTTTAGTTAGTTTGGCCAAGCTGGCCTAGCATAAAACATGTCAAAATAAAACATGTTCCTGCTGCCAATTTTAATAAAGGAAGAACATTATTTTGCATCTCTGTATGCGCAATTCCTGTTAGTACAGTAAATATCAGCATGGTTTCAGTCTGCTCACAACACTAATTATATAAAGTGTTGCATAAAATATTTCTAGTATTTAATCACTTGCCCTCCAGAGGACTTCCCCTCCTTCCTGACCAGCCCATTTTTTGCGATACGGCACTGCGTTACTTTAACTGACAATTGCGCGGTCATGCAATGCTGCACCCAAATTAAATCTATGGCCTTTTTTCCCCCCAAGAATAGAGCTTTCTTTAGGTGGTATTTGATGGCCTGTGCGGTTTTTATTTTTTGCGCTATATAAAAAAAAAAGACCCTCAATTTTGAGAAGAAAACTATTTTTTTTATAACTTTTTGCTATTAAACATGTTCAGTTAAAAAATTTTAAAAATCAAATTTCAGCATAATATATGCATATATAAAAATATAGGCCAAAATGCATTCAGCTACAGGTCTTTGCTAAAAAAAAATCCCAATATGTATAAATTAATTGGTTTACCTGAAAGTTATAGCATTTACAAATGGTGGTATATATACTGGGATTCTTTTAAATTTTTTTAAAATTTTTTACTAGTAATGGCAGCGATCAGCGACTTATAGCGGGACTGCGGCAGGCATTCCGACACTGGGGGGAACTGACTTGGTGTCACTGACATCCCCAGTGACACCAGTACAGTGATCAGTGCTAATAAAAAGCACATACACTGTACTAATGGCACTGGGCAGGAAGGGGTTAACATGAGGGGTGATCAAAGGGTTAACTGTGTACTGTGTTAGTGCTTTCAACTGTAAGCACACTGCTTTGTATGGCTCTGCTATGCAGAGCCATACAAAGCAGTGTGCAGGAGCTGACAGGGGAGAGAACTGTATTGTTTACTCACAGTTCTCTCCCTCCATCAGTAATGCTTGGCGATCACCGGGTGTCGGCGAGTAATCACCGGAAGGGACCCGATGATTGACAGCCGAGGTGGCCAAAAGCAGCACAGGTAGGGCTCACACGCCCCCTACCCGGAGATGCAAAATCACGTATATTTACATGATTTTGTGCAGCTGTGCCACCCTGTAGCAATATATCTGCTATACGGCAATGGGAAAGCGGTTGATGCTACAGGAAACTGTCAAATATTGATGACTAACTAGAGAAAATGGCCAGAGATTTGTCTACAGGAGTTGTTGGAGACTAACGCCATGCTGTAGCAAACAGGCAGAGACTAGGGACATACTATATGAAACGGAGAGAGATCACTGGTAATAAAGGTCTCTTTACATGCCAGGGCTCAACCATTGACTGCTGGGGCCCTCTGACTGCACTCCAAACAGGGCCGTATATGGTCCATGGGTTACAGGTTAGGCACCGGGACATTATATCATTATAGTTATAGCACAAACCACAGAAGGAAACGAAAAAAAAAAAAGCTGCCAAAGAGATAGCACCTTCTGGTGATGGTGAAGGATGATGTCTTATATCCTATGTGGGGGCCATATGTGAAAAAAACATGGAAACTTTTCCTGAAGAGGTGTACCCTAATAGCTCTCACTGCATCTAGCCTATGCAAGGCAATATGTGCACAATAGGAGTAGGACTTAGCGAATCTCCTTGTTGAAGTGGAAGGTAAAGACAACTTTAGGTACAAACAAAAGCCTAATCTGTACTCAGAACCACATGATCCCTATTAGACGTGTGTTTCATGGTAAAATTTCAATTTCAGAGATTCGGATGTATATGAATCTCCGAATGGACATAGTAACGAATGTAAATGAATCTGAAAATAAGTTATAACGAAATTAACTAATGCATTTGGTTCATTTGGATGACCTCACATGATGGAATAGTTTAAGCCCATGGGGAAATTAATTACATTTTCAAATTTGTTCAATAATTCGGATAACGAATGCATCTGAATTAAGTTCTATTTGGATGCATATGATGTCAGTCGACATTGTCCAATCAGCTCATGCCATTTCTCTTGGTGGGTTGGACTAGTGTTCAAAAATATCAAATCCTTCTGATATGAATCTGTCCAATTCAATAATATATCAAATATATAGCAATCTTCAGGAAAAACTGCAAAAGTATTTGAATCTACCCAGACCAAAGAATATATAAACAGAATGCTGAAGATACAAAATGAGGTCCGAAAAAGAATCGGTTCAACATAATGAACATGACAAAACAGTCTAACAGTTGCTGCACAACAGATAGACAAGCCTGTGAAATACTGGGAGAATATAGTCTGGTCAAATGAGACCAATATTGAACTCTTTGAATGCCATAATACACACCATTTTTAGAGGTCAAATGGCACTGAACACCACTCCAAAAACACCATACCAACAGTGAAGTTTGGGGGTGGGAACATCATGATGTGGGGCTGTTTTTCACTATGTGGTACTGGCAAACTTCTTATCATTGCAGGAAGGATGAATGGAAAAATGAACCAAGACATTCTTGATAAAAATCTGCTGCCATCTACCAGTATGATGAAGATGAAATGAGGGTGGACATTTCAGCAAGACAATGATCCCAAACACAAAGCCAAGGAAACTCTCAATTGGTTTCAAGGAAAGGAAAATAAAGCTGCTTGAATGGCTCAGCCAATCACCTGACTTGAATCCAATAGAAAATCTATGGCAAGAACTAAAGGTTAGAGTTCATAGAAGAGGCCCACGGAACCTTCAAGATTTGAAGACTGTGTGGAAGAATGGGCCAAAATCACACCCAAGCAATGCAGGTGACTAGTTTCTCCACACAGGAGGCGTCCTGAAGCTGTCATTACCAACAAAGAATTTTGTACAAAGTATTAAATTTCAGTTAGCGTGTTCAATACTTTTTCCCTGTGTCATTCCATTTTATTACACATAACCTAATTTCTGAACGTATTTGTTTTGGTTTCTTTGTATGTAGGGATTGCATGGATGGTTACTGACATGTGGTACATACACACACCTTTTATATATATTATACACACACATACATACATACAGTAGATATGAAAAGTCTATACACCCTGTTAAAATGTCAGGTTTCTGTGATGGAAAAAAATTAGGCAAAGATAAATAATTTCAGAACTTTTTCCACCTTTAATGTAACCTATAAACTGTACAACTAAAATAATATGGTTGCATAAGTGTGCACACCCTTAAACTAATACTTTGTTGAAACATGTTTTGATTTTATTCCAGCACTCAGTGGTTTTGGGTATGAGTCTATCAGCATGGTACATCTTGACTTGGCAATATTTGCCCACTCTTCCTTGCAAAAACACTCCACACCTGTCAGATTGAGAAGGCATCTCCTGTGCACAGCCCTCTTCAGATCATCTCACAGATTTTTATCAGATTCAGGTCTGGGCCATGGCTGGGCTATTCCAAATCTTTAATCTTTTTCTGGTGAAGCCATTCCTTTGTTGTTTTGGATGTATGCTTTGGGTCGTTGTCATGCTGAAAGATGAAGTTCCTCTTCATGTTCAGCTTTCTAGCAGAAGCCTTAAGGTTTTGTGGCAATATTGACTGGTATTTGGAACTGTTCATAATTCCCTCTACCTTGACTAAGGCCCCAGTTCCAGCTGAAGAAAAACAGTCCCAAAGTATGATTCTGCCACCACCATGCTTCACTGTGGGTATGGTGTTCTTTTGGTGATGTACAGTGTTTTTGCGCCAAACATACCTTTTGGAATTATTGCCAAAAAAGTTTAACCTTGGTATCATCATACCATAACACATTTTCCCACATGCTTTTGGGAGACTTTAGATTTGTTTTTGCAAAATTTAGCCGGGCTTGGATGTTTTTCTTCATAAAAAAAGGCTTCCGTTTTGCCACTCTACCCCATAGCCCAGACATATGAAGAATACGGGAGATTGTTGTCACATGTATCACACAGCCAGTACTTGCCAGATATTCCTGCATCTCCTTTAACCACTTGCCTACCAGGCAATTATACCCCCTTCTTTACCAGGCCAAGTTTCAGCTTTCAGTGCTGTCGCACTTTGAATGACAATTGCGCGGTCATGCAACACTGTACCCATATTAAATTTTTAGCATTTTTTTCTCACAAATAGAGCTTTCTTTTGGTGGTATTTAATCGCCGCTGGGCACTTTATTTTTTGTGTTATAAACAAAAAATTGCAAAAAAAATGTGAAAAAAAAAGGTTTGTCTCTTTTATAAAATTTTTCAAACAGGTAATTTTTCTCCTTCACTGATGTGTGTTGATGAAGCAGCACTGATGGGCACTAATAGGCGGCACTGATAGGCAG